GTTGTATATGTATGTATATATATATGTATACTTTTTTAAATAAAAAAACAATACTTTTCGATATCGAATCTCCATTGATACGCGTCGATTGACAGCAAACCAAGCGGCCAATCGGCTGCACATTGCCGCATCGATGAATTCTCGTGCTGGCAATTTCGATCGATCGATCCATCGTCGTTCCGAAGAAGACATGTGCGTACGTTTTACACGTGCATGCACGTGCCGACACGTGCGTGCCACTCGCACGGGGCCGATTCCATTTAATTACTGCACCCAGAGCGAGCTTTCACGACCGTTAAAGGAAATTAATTGCCGCTGCGACATCCATGCTTCCGGTTTCGACAGCACACGTGATGGATCAAGCAGGATACGCCAGGTGGGGAAAAAATATTGGCGAAGAAGCGAGCGATTATAATCCTTCGATACGTACGCGTCTCGATATTTTCGCATATTTTTCTGCGAAATGCAGAAAAACAAACGTTTTGTGTTTGCACGTTGCTTCTTTTAAATTCATATTTTACATTTGTATCAAATTTATTAAATATACTTTTTACTTTTATTTATGTAAAAGGGATGAAATATTTCCGCGTATGGTCCCAGATTTTCCACCTTTCTCCCCTTGGAAATGTCATTATGAGGCCGTTATATAGCCGCGCGCGGCTGTTATCCGTTTGATTTTCACCGTGCGCGCATCGGATTTTATCTCTGCGCCCCTTTTTCCTGTTTTTACTCGCTCTTCAACAAGGATCCTGCTATCTACCATCTTTGATCCGCCGTTGCCTCGTATTTATCGAACTTCCTCCGAGAGCCGCTACGAGATTTCCTTCCTCTCCATCTTCCTCGCCAAGTTGTCTGCAGCTACGCTTCTCGAACGTCGAGCTACCGTAAATTGTTCTACTTAGCTAAGGCGAATAGTGGCCCTCCCGGCGAAGTTTAATTAGCTTTTAAATCCTTGCCGCTCATTATGCCCTCCTTTTTCTCCACCAAATTGAAGGGAAGGGCTCCTTTCTATCGGCCAACTTCGCGCGCGAGTAATCGCGCGAAAGGAAAAAAGAAACGCGCCCCTTCACAGCAAGAAATACAACCGAGCGGAGAATTTCACCCAAACGACACCGAGAATCGATAACCTATCGTCGTCGCTTCGATTTAATTAGTTAGCGATACTTTTGCTCACTCGATATCGAGTACAACTACGGGCACTCGGCCAGAATAAATATCACCCTGCCGTTTATAATAATTCAAGCGCTTCGAATTTCGTAGCGAATTTTATAAACGCGTAACGAAGAGACTGCATGACGCGCTCTTTCAGCTTTTCCTTCTCGCTGCCTTTTCAAGCCAATGTATCGCCAACTGCGTGTTGTTTGAAATAAAAATAAAGCACGATTCCTCCGAGGTCCTACGGCTGTATTGAGTTTCTGCCAAAATCGTCACTTAGTTTGGGTCAGGTTAGCATTTAGCGCGAAGGAAACGAAAGACATTCTTGTTGGGCTTTCGTCGGTCATTTCCGGCGACATGTAGCGCGCCCTTAGCGTCCACTTTTTGATTTATCACGACGTGGGACCACCCGCGAGGTAGGCAGCCGTGTCGGAAGGCTCTTCTACGTGGCGATGATAAATCTCGGCCACTCTCGGCTACAGGCGCCGCCGTTAAATCCGCGCGAATCACGCAGCGTGCGGCCGGTATCGCCGTAATAAATCGCGCTTCGATCGCAAAACCGTCTTGTAGTAGCGTGCGAGAAAAAGGAACCAGAAATAGTATCCTGGCAATTTTCAAGGGAATTAAAGTTCCAAAACGCAAGGAACGCGAGAACGCGGTGGGATGGAAGGTAAGACGATTGTCGCCGGACTAAAAAGTTAACAATCCAGCAAAAACGACGCAATCGGATGATCCGAAGAGTTCATAAATCTGAAAATCTGTGAAATCTAAAATATGGAAGGATAAAAGTCGAGGGAATCTCGAGTTCAAGTATCCGGCAATCCGAGGATAATCTAGACACCAAAGAGATCCCGACATTCGGAGAATGTTCAAGGCTGACCGATGGTCTCGCTTCGCACCTTTTCCAACTTGAGGAAACTGTAAAAAGGGATAAAACGATTCTCGATGTTCGTTGGAGAGCAAGATACAAAAGAAAATGGTCATACTGAGAAATAATACTCGCGGACCAGAGGAAGATTTGCCGCGTGTAGCGCGAAATCCGAAATTCCTTCGGTACTCTGAACTATAACGGCAATGACCCGGCTTCCCTTGTCGCCAATAGGTAGCGGCAACGCCATAGGTTTCGTTTCCAATAACCGTTTCGCCACGGAGAATTCCGCCATATTCGCGGAAGCAGCCAGTTTTACGTTCAAATAACTTCTCGTTCGGCGAGAAAGACCGAACGAAAATAAACTTCTGCTCCTGCAAATAACAACGCCACTGTGTATGTTTAACATCTGAGCTAAAGAAACTTATCTGCACCACATACACACACACACACACACACACACACACGCACACACGCGCGCGCGCGCGCTGTGTCGTCCTCCGTTTTACAACAGGAAGTAGAAATAAAGAGCGAAACGGCTGAAAGTGAATTTAATTATCTCAGGTGTTAATATTAGACTGAGAAACAAGTAATTCAACTATCTTCCATTCCAACCACGCGTACGCAGAAAATACTCGAGAGAACACGTTTAAATATTGTCTCGGGGAAACACGAGCAAAGTGAGACATTGTTTCTTGATGTATATTTTTAATGATATTATATTCATCGTTATTATGTATCACGTTGCTTTAACATTGTTAAATAATACAATAGACATCAAGCTGATTATAATCAGCAAGGTTTGCAGCAAACAGCAACTTTCTAACGATATAACAATGATAGACGACAATAGTGATAATTCTGATAATATTTTATTCTGATAATATCACATAACCGCGATGCGTAATAGTTGAATTCAGAGTAATGAATGCGATTAGGGCCAATGGCCCTTGCGGGGATAAAAAAGGTATGACATTTCGTCGTTTGGTGTAATCCTGTGGCGAAAACATCGTCGCGCCGTGCATTATGGAACGGCGAATATGGCGAAGATCTTTATGATCCTTCTTGCTATCAACTTGGCCGGTAAAATAAGTACGCCTGAGATTCGGCTTATTCTGAATAATATATCAAACTTATGAAGAGGCTTTGAGGGTGAACGTCGCGGCAAATCCGCGTATTATAAAGTAGAGGGACGAAAGGACGAAATATTGCGTCTTGGCTGACCATGTGGTCGGACAATTACATATTTCGACGGGATCCGCGTTCTGAAGTAACGCGCGCGACACAATTGCGAGAAATTGCGAGTTGGTAAAATGACGATTTGTTGAAATAATAATAATTGTTCGCTGTTACATGCAAAACTAGAACGAGGATTACTCCGTCCGCCGGGACTACAATGGCTCTGTTATAAAAGCTCGGGAAACTAAAATTTGAGTGACATAAAAACAAAAAAAAAAAGAGAGAAAAAGAGAAGAGAGCGGGAGAATTTCTGGATCCAATATCGGGGCTTTCGAAACGAGAAAAAGGGATATTACAAGATTTAAAAATTCAAGGCGTTGCAGCCTGCAGAGCCTTTAGAGTCTAAGTAGCTGAAGTTCTAGGAGTTATAAAATTGATCTAGACGAGGATCCTAGGCAGCACACCTATCCTTTCCTCATCCTCTTTATGTCTGGGAGACGAGGTAAGTTCATTAACGTAAATGAGATGTTTCTGAAGAGGAGCTACTCTCGTCGCGGAACCCACCCCCTCGCCCTAAAGGGTTCGTCTCAAAGCCTTCTTATCGTAGATTTAACACGTCGTTACGTTCCGTGAATACGCTGTGAATACATGTGCGTAGGCGCGAAGCAGATAATTCGGATACAAAACTAATTTCGCGAACTCCTTACGCGCATTAAGCTCGCCGTCGATTCACGCCGAATCCTCGCATTTATCCAACAAAATCCGAATTATGCGCTGAAAGAAGCGCATTCAGCTCGAAAGCGAATCATAATTCAAATTAGCGGAAGATCGTTGAATCGAGCAGAAATTGAATTCGAGTCGAACCAAGACCGATCTGAAAGCGCATTCAATACTAAATACGTATAACGCGCGTATCCCCAAAAAAATTTATTTCAACTTTCAATTATAGTTTTAATATAACAACATTGTATTGTATTGTATATTGTATGTAATAATAACTAATAATTACAATTCAGCTTTTCATTTCTTTCTCAACTTTAAATGCGCCGCGATTCTGGTTTAATTTGGATACAAACAGAATTAATGATTAATCAACTGCAAAACCAACGACGTCATCGAGACGACAGATTTTCCACAAGTAGGCTTTATCACCGCGAGAGATTTTGCGAATCGAAAGTAACATTTTATCATGTTTACCTTGCACAAATATATTTTATCATTTTTAATTTTCCAATATGTGTAACACGCTTAGCATTACGACTCGCTACATTTTTGCGAACATCAAATTTCTATTAAAAATCCGTTAAAGAACGGGGACATAGAACAGTGCAAGGAGAAGCTGTCGGTGATGCAAGTGACGTTAAAACCTTCCGGCGCCAAATTCCGCCGTTATCTAAACGGTTCTAATGTGAACGTCTTTTCTGCTTGAGAAACTCACCAAGAGATTGACGAGCACAATATCGTGACGCTATTTATCAAGCTGCTCGCGGAAGCGTGTCTCTTCGACTGCGAGGACGAAAACTCGTGCTTTTCGCGACTCCTGTTCTCGCGGATCAGTGGGCAAACAAGTATTCGGAGTACAAGAGTATCCTCCTCTCCCGTCGATACTCCTCCACATGTAGGCAGCCGTCGAGCGGGTGCATATTCGCGGAAAGAATTTGTACGACAGGGCCGAGGTTTCACCGAAAATAAAAGTTCCCCGCTTGGAACTCGCCTTGCCCGGCGGCGCTTCGTTCGAGAACTCGCGGTTTAATTTTAGAAGCGCTTCTCGCGTGCGCGCTCAGTCCGCTCGCGAGATTCGTCGGGACGAAACGGAAAGTTTTCGACACGTGCTTTTGTGGCGACCGGAAAGATCACAAGTGCGTAATTACCTAACAACCGGCCGCTCGAGCTTCGTGCTTTGAACTTCCGATTTTTCGATACGTTGAATTCTCAGTACTTCTCGCTCGGTCGAATTGTTACAACGTGCCAGATGACCGTGAGGTGTAATTGTTGGAGTTACATTTTTTTTACCCTCGAAAAAGGAACGTATAGTTGTGGAAACTGAATTTATTGTGCCACTGGGAATTTTCGAACCGGAATATACACTGGAAAGGGTAAAAGATCAATATTTGATTATTTTGCGACGAGAATATATATGGAATATAAGAGGATATAGAAATTTGTCACTATAATATATATATATATATATAGTATAATATAATATAATATATATAATGTAATCAGCGATGATCTAGATGTGCTTTTGTCAAGAGAAAATTTTTCGCAAAGTTTGTCGAATAAGATATTTTTTCACCAAAGATACAATGGAGGTGTGATAGCGCGACGGGATTTTCTCACCTCTCGAAAATCTATCGTAAACATCGACGATAGTAAAAAGAAGAATTAATGATGGATGTGGTAAATCCCTGCAAGCTTATCCGCAACAAGCGGTCGACGAAATAGGATTTACCACAATAATCGCTTACGTCCTCCCGTTCAACTCCTCATCCCGTAAAGAGAGAAATTGTCAAAAATATTTATTTTTCATATTGCGCGTTTTGTTGGAAGATATATGTTTGTTGGATATGTATTTGTTATGGATATATATTTGTTGGAATATATATATTTAGATAAAATATCAAATTAAACATCAAAAATATAAATGAAGATGCAAGCGAATATAGAGGATTTTACAAAAAAAGATGAGAATTTTATAAAAATTATATTCTCTTTACAAGAAAATTATAAAAATATAAAAATAAGGAAGTATAAAATCACGCGCGCTACATATATCAAGGAATCCTATAAAATATGTATTTTAATCGATAATGTTTCATCTCTCTCCTTCTCAGTAGGAACGTACAAAATTGTTAATTTAACAAGACTCTAAAGGGTCGTGTGAAAATTTTAACGGAATTCAAACATTTTCTCGTCCGTTGCCTCATGAAAGTTTTAATACTGCTATTTCGCAGCAGGGAAGGCTGCCTAACAAGACAAAAAATGCTCTAGTGCAAATGTTTCCTCGCTCGTGGGGTATATAAATAAAAACGTAACATTCGATGGCAACGATATCGAGCGCATCACCCTCGCATTGCGATTTCTCGCCCTGGGGAAAGAGCTCGTTGACGCGAAAATGTGCAATTCGGCTTTGCTCGACGAGAGGAGACCTCAGTTGTCATCATCATCGTCGTCGTCGTCGTCGTCGTCGTCGTCGTCGTCGACGTCGTCTGAAATAACGACCACGACTTTTTACAATGAGCGAAACACCTTGCAAACATTTTCCACGAAAGCCGGTAATCTCATTACGAGTGCGTTCTCGTCAATATGCGCTGCCAAGCTTCTTTGCGTTATTAATTCCAATTCTGTTCTCTCCGTTCACTATGAGAATTTCTTCTCTTCAAATATAATTCTGCTCCAAAAATAGAAGAAAGGCCGAGGTGGGAGTGAGGTAAATACCAAAATGAGGGGAAGCATTTCGTATAATTTAAGGAACACACGAACGCAGGTGTAAAAGTTGCTCCATTCTGTTGTTCTGCTTGCCATTAACAACAGTGCCGGTGTACTTCAGCACCAGCCCGTGAAAAATTCCTCGGGATAAGCATCGTCTTGCATCGTATCGTATCGTCTACGCGGCCGCGCGGGCGGAACTTCCGCGAGATGCAAATGTTTGTTCTCTTAAGTATCTTAATAGCGTTCACGTTAATCAACAAATTTGCGCTACAGCCAAGCGGAGCAATTGTTGTTAGTGTCTCCGGAGGTTCATGGTTAAAATATCACGTTGAAAGGGATACATATGCTGCTGTAGACTGCACAGGGCTGACAAGTAGATCTGATACGGCCTGAAAATTGCGTAGCGTGCTCCGGGTCCTCAAAAGTTCGTCTACCGTAAACGTCGCAACTGTCGGATTTAGTTGGCCGCGCTCTCTTGTGCTTTCGCCGAGTCGCTCTCGAACTCGACGTCATTTGTCTGACGTAAATTATGCCGGAATTACGAGACGTTCGCGTATATTGCAAAACTGCGAGCGAACCATTATCGCGATGTTGTCGGGAGCGTGCACTTCAGCTCGTCACGCGATCGAATTTGCGCAAATGCGACTTGTCGCTCGACGGTAACGTGCGAATCGCCGCTTTAGCAAGTTTTTTATGTCGACGTTTCGTGCCCATGCAAAGATATTACGACGCTCTCATGTGCGAAACTTTTCCTCGCAACACCATAAAGTATCTCGAATCTAGGGCTAACTCTGTGCGCGCGCTGATTATGTCGGGAAAAATAAAAATAGAAATTTACAGGGCCGTCTCATGTAAATTGGATTCTACTGAAAATGGTAATTTTTCGAAGAGAGCCACCGATGCATCGATAAAATCATAATCGGGGAGAATGCTCGTGCATTTGTAGATCTTCGAAGCATTAAATCGAAGCGTTAAATAAATCAAGCCGAGTGAGTCATTGAAAATTCTCCAAATAACACGAGAACGTGTTTCAAATATTTTTATATATTCGACGATAAAATTTGACCACTTTTCTCTGTTTAAAAATAGCCAATAGAGCTGACGCTAGAAAAAGTCGGAGTAAACCTAGAATCAAAAGAAAAGGAAAGAAAAGGAGAGGGAAACATCCAAGATCAGGAAATTTTTCGCTCGAATCAATTCCCACCAAATTCCGGATATTTGTTCAACGTGGATAATTTTGGATTGCAGTGTTTAATTTTTGGACGGGTAACGTTGTAAGTCGGAAGGTCCATACGCGGCGTCGCACGGCGATGTCCTCCAGAGACGATATTCTTGGCGGGACAAACAAGGGTGAACGCACGTACGAAGAGAGAGCGGTGGCTCGCGCGCGACTGCACGTACTCTATTTTCGCCCCAAATAGAACGCGCCGCCTGTTGGTAAACTTCGCTTTCTCGTGGCTTTCGATCGGGCATCGCACGGGCACGGAGCTCGCTTTCCCTCACGTAAAGATTCCTCCGCTCGCGTCCTCCTCCGGCCGGAATGCCGTTATTCGCTAAAGCAGTCGCGGCGGAAATTTAAATAGCGACAACAAAAGGGATATCGCTCGCCTACAAACTAATTGAATCTTAATTCCTGCGACTTTACCGGCAGAATTGTACGACAATGCGAGACAATTACTATCGGAATATATTAATCGGATTCCAACGGGGGAAATCGCTTCACAGTCTTCAGGGTGAATAGCAGTATGAAATTTAATCTCGCTGCAAAGAGTTAATCGATAAGGGAAAATTTTATTCAAACACACGAACGGAATTATATTTTGGATTGTGTTGAATATGAAATACACGCTGCTTGATAGGCAAAATCCCGCCCGGTCGATTTGGAATTGATAAAAAAAAAAACATATCCAGAAGTGGTATAGATATCGCGTGAACTTGTCGGTGTGCACTATAATCTCGGATAAAATCGCCCTCGAAATAGATCGACTGCCACGAAAATGCGAACTCCACGTGTGGAGAAGTAGTTGGCCCCCACAAAAACTCGTGTGGCAGCGGAAGTGAAAAGTTTCGAGCGACGTTCAACGGAGCGGTTGCTCCCTTCGCGCTGGGTCTAACCAGGAGCAAGGGTCGAAAAATTATTTTTACTTCAACCGCGCGAGTGTGCGCTTCGTTGCGGCAGCGGCTGTCGCACGCGCTGCCTCGGGCTCACCGCTGGGAGAGTCTTGGAGATTGCGTTCTGCTATGTTCTCTTCTTTCGCTGCACGTTACGCTTTCTTTGTTCCACGTCGCAAAAATGATGAAGCATCAATTATGAAATTATTTCTCTCAGTGACGCCGAGATCTCCGGATATACTTCGACGCTAATCGACGCTATTCAAGCCTATCGAGTGTATCGCAGTTGACGAAAGAATTAATTAACGAAGGATTTCGAGCGGTATCTGCACATTTGGGCCGAACCTACAAATTTGAGCGCCGAGTAGATACTTGAAGTAACTAAAAACTATTCGCTTTACACCGACAACGCCATCTTTCTCGGCAAATATTGTCCGTTGAGATATTCGGGGAATTACGGCCCAAGTTTGACGACACGTTGTAAAGCACCGATTTGCTTCCGGCGAAACAACGAGTTGATAATGCACAATGGGACACTAGGACTCGATTGAAATTTGCCCAGAGTGTCGACACTCTTTGGTGACGAACTTTAAGAGGATGAACTGAATTTGGTGTTGTGTGATCAACGAGCGCGAAGCGAGTACTCTCGAAATGCTGCGATTGGAACTGCTGGTTCTTCTGCTGCTGGCCTGCACGCAGATTCTCACGGAGCACCGCGACTTTCACGAGTCGCGAAACCAGTACGGCTACCAGTCGCGGTTCCAGAAGGAAAGAATGACGAGGGAAATCCACGTGAAGGAGGGTCGATTGCGCGGTAAAGTGGTCCAACCGAGAACCATTCACAGTTTGCAGATGGTCGACGTTTTTCGAGGTGAGTTACTTAGGCCGTTACTATCAGGAATTACTCTCCGGGACTAACACTCGCTTTCGACACAAGTAACGGAGTGCAAAGGGAACATTACCTTCCGTTCTTCGCGCGTTTCGTTATTTGATTCTCCTTCGTTCGCGTTACACTCAATGTCGAATTTATCGCGATCAAGTAGTCGTGACAGCGTCTGTGTATTCGCGAAAACGTGCATTCCCGTTAGAGAAACGGAAACAGCGAAAGACTCGCTGTTTCTTCGGAGGAGCGATACGCGGAAATCGAGTGGAGCTATTTATATCGATTGAATACATTTAATCCGCTGCTGATGCGAAGCTGGTTGACGCAAAGCCGACGTTTCATATGCAACATCCTACTATAACGGCGGCTCGATAACGTTCGATACATCAAGAGAGAGAGAGAGAGAGAGAGAGAGAGAGAGAGAGAGTGAGAGAGAACGGGGGAAGAGGGAGAGAGCTTGGCTCCGGTCAGTGAGCAAAAGTTTCCTGGCAGTTGTATATCCGCGCTTTGAAAGTCCCGATACGTCAAAGGATCGACGAAAACGAGGAGCGCGTGCCTGTGCGCCCGTGTATTTCGGGAACAGATATTCCCCCGCGCCTCACACCCTCTGCCTTTCTCCGTCTTTGCTCGACTTGTCGCTGTGCGTCCGCGAAGTCGCAGGCGTCACGCATCGGACTGCACTCGTGTGCGCATGGCTTTGTATACTCAGAGCTGAGTTTACATCACTTACATTTTGATGATTGTCCGAAGTGAACACGCCCGACGGACTGCTTCGTTTCGCTCCCGGAGATATATTAACCTCGTAAACGACGGGGGAGCGCATTAAAGCGCCTCGATAACGAAGCAAAAGCCGCTTTCGAAAGTGGCATCGAGAGATCGGGATTGAATCGAAGTGGCGTTCCGGGATTGAATCAGAATCGAAGCGGAATTGCGTTGACTGTGAGATGAAGTAGAGTTTAATTGTAATCGCGACACGAGCGTGGCGGCCGACATGGATCGTTCGGATCAATCCGGGACGGGATCAGCGGTGACCAGTGGCCGTCGTCGCGGATGGGATTAATTCCGGCCGTTTCTTTCCGCCGGCGGAGTTAATCGCCGCCGCGCGGAGAGAAGTTAATCCCTTCAGGCAAATTTAGCCCTCGTGATAAACACTTGGGCGCGATGAATTCGCTAAGTATCGCCCCGCGGGGACAATTAACAGCCTGTATCTGAAGCGTAATCGGCTCTCGTGTGTGCCGTAGGAATCCCTTATGCGGAACCTCCGATGGGACCCTTCAGGTTTTCACCGCCGCGATCGCCGCGACCGTGGAGAGGGGTGCGGCAGGCGCTGGAATTTGCCCCAGTTTGCCCGCAAGTCTTGCCAAATCTGCAAGAGGAGGTAAAGCCGGGCAGGTACGAGTACTTGGAGAGACACTTGCCTTCCCTGAGGAACCAGAGCGAGGACTGTCTCTATCTCAACATCTATGCTCCTCATCAGCCCGAAGGTGAGTGCGAGTGATCACACAAATAGGGACTCATTATTAACAGTGGTGGTAGTAACGGCAACAGCAGCAGCAGCAGCAGCAGCAGCAGCAGTAGTAGTGGGTGATGGTGTTGCGGGAGTTGTCGACTTCGATACCAGTATCAGATTCAATCTATGAGACATGGATGGCGTATTCTGTTCTAAACAGGATCGAGTTTGTAGCGCGTGGATTCATCAGGAGTTGACTTTCGCTTATCCGTTTTCAGCGCCAAGTTAACTTATAATTTCCACGGGTTCGACTGAAAATCCACTTCCAGGAGCTGGACGTTGTCGGTATCCGCAAAGATACTCGGATTCTCGGCTATTATCCTGAGCGCTAAATACTCTAGTAGTAATATCGAAACACTATCCGGGCACTAGACCCGAATGGTTATAAAAAAAACTACCCCGATTATATCGACGGCACCATTTAGGGGCTAGTTTTATTTTAAGCAAATAATTTCTAACGGAGCCCCCAAGCTTTTTTAATTGGGAAGTGAAGTATGTCGGCAGATCTCCAGTTGCCAATCACTGGAAATGGAACAATATCCTAATGAGTTTTCCACAGGAAGCACGAGGGATACATGCATACACCGGCCAAGAAGAGTCTTCTACAATCCGCGAGCACGATAATCCTCATACACGAGACTCGAGCGAGCTACCGAATGATAATCCGGCGATGATACGACGAAAATATCTCTGGCGTTGAATTGAAACTTCCTCGGATTTCCCTCGGAACAGGACGCGACACGCGGAATATCCAATCTGCCAAAAAAAGAGGGATCAGATCGGCCGTTCGATCTCGATCGGCCGGCTCGCGATTATGCGGGTGCATTCGACTCTGCAACGAGTTTTTCCACACGGTCAACTGCGTAAAACAGCTGCCGTCGATTTACGGACCGGCGTCATGGTGGAAGGAACGATCACGTGGGATTCAGCTTTCGCGCGCGCGTTATAAATTCATTCGTCGCGTATATATTCATTCCACCAGCCGGAGTCGGCCGGTCGGCCGGTCGGTCGGTCGGTCGGTCGGTTGGTCGGTCGGTCGGTCGGTCGGTCGGTCGGTCGGTCGGTCGATCGCACCAGCCGATGTGCGCGTATTCGCCATTTTACAATACCGGCGGCCTGAGTGGGTTAAACTCGCGTCGCCGTGCCATTTACGAGCGTATGGAAATATCTGCAAGAATTCCAAATCGAATTGATCGGCCGGGGCTTTCGACGTAGCTACCGTGAGATATCGCTCGCAAAACCGCACCATTGCGCTATGTGAGCTCGCTCGTTTCACGCGGCGATACGTCCGCCATGAGCCCGTAGATTTTCGCATTTTTTTTCTTTAATATCGCTCTACCGCGCAAACGAATGTGATTCCAAATCAAACGCCGCCTCTCTCTCTCTCTCTCTTGCATTCATCCGGGAGATCCCCGTCCTCGCTTTATTGCGACGTATTTCGGAAAATTTATGGGAAAAAAGAAAGTGTCAACACACATGTGCACGCGCACATGTATATGCATGCACACACACACACACACACACACATACATACACATACACACATATATATATATATTATATATATACTGTTAATTTCGCGCAACTGCTGAATTCATCTCACATCGCGCGCGAATAATTTAATCCGCCGTGAACGCGACGAGAGTGTGACGTATCTTCTTCATGTGCACGTCCTGCCGCTAATATAAGAATAGATTAATCTTTTAATCGCTCTTTCGAGAGCGCTCCTTATCTGCTCTGATAAACAAGATAAGCTGCGCGGGATATCCGCGGCGGCGCGGCGTTTCCTGCGGGCAGACATTACTTCCGCAGAACAAGCTCGTTATAAGAGAGCCGCCGAAATTACCGCGATTGCGGCGATTTCGCTGTTTACGGAGATATTCAGATGGCGAATCATCATCGCGGACGACAAAAACACGATTTTGAGCCACCGGCCTTCCCGCGCGGCCATTACGTTCTCCCCCCATTACGTTCCCGCCTATTTTCTATTTCTTTACGCAGACCAGTCTCATCCGATGGATTTCTTAAATTTAGCGTAGCTTCGGCAGGGCTTCGGATCTGCGAATTTCTACATTCCCGAAACTGAGGATGCAGAAAGAATCGCAGAGTCCGCGCGCGAGCTCTCATTTTGGCATGAGAGAGAGAGAGAGAGAGAGAGAGAGAGAGAGAGAGAGAGAGAGAGAGAGAGAGAAACGACCGTTCCGATAATCACCTCTTGTTCCCAGCGCGGAATATCCTCGCAATGTCCGGGCACTGAGTCCAACTCGCTCCGATGTGTGTCGCTTCTTTCTCGGGCACGGAAGTATCTTTTAAATCTTGCTTCTCTCACGTGAACGTGAAATGAACTCTCGGCGTGTTATCAGCGAACGCATTACCAGGAGCTACGTGCAAAACGCGTTACGCGCGTCGCGGAATTACTATTACTGCCAAAGACGCATCGAATTTAAAGTAAAAAGTGCGCTGATGACTACCTTCCTTCCCGGAGGAATTCTGCTTTGGGGCTGAGTGCAGCCGGAGAGGAAAACGTGTGCACGAGTGGTGCTCGAGAAAGTCGCCGGAGCCAACATAGCCTTTGTGCCGCCTTATCGTTCTACGGTTCCAACGAGACCAATTTCTCTTCTACCGCGCTTTATCCGAAAAGGGAAAGGGTGAGTGGGAGGGAGAGAGAAAGAGTGACAGAGAGAGGGAAGGAGGGAGAGAGAGAGAGAGAGAGAGAGAGAGAGAGAGAGAAAGAGAGAGAGAGAGAGAGAGAGAAAGAGAGAGAGAGAGAGAAAGAGAGGGAGGGCGGGGAGGGCGGGGACGGGCGCTCACAGCACTTTGTGCTCAGTGCCTCGCAAAACTACGTATAATTATATTGACGATGCATTCATACACACGTACTTTACGGCCGAGTACGAAGTGATTCTCGCTTGTTAGGGTTTTTACCTAAGTCGAGATTTCTTTTTTTGCCGTCGCTGAATGTGCTTCACGAGCGTGCGATTCCGTCATTACGATGAGATCAAGGGAAGCTCCGTTATATATCACCGTGGAGACAGAAACGGGAGACGGTTGGCTCGTTCGAGCATTTGCGACGGATTAAAACTGATTTCTCTTTTCTCATTTGAATTAGTGCGTTTTAATTAAGCGAATACCGGACGATTCTTAGGCGGCTTTCCGTTGGATCAAAGAGACGCGAGGGACAATAAAGGGAGAGCGGAAAGGATATTTATTGCTAAGTAACTCGCGAGGGAGTCCCCCCTCCCCTGAGGGACATGACCTATGCATCTGCTGTAACGTAAGCGAATATCGCTGCGAATCGAGATGCGCAAATCGAGGAAAAGCGTAAAAAAATATTTATTCTGCAGGGGCTACAGAAATTCGCTTCTCAGGCGAACGAAACTCTATAAGATATTCGTATGATGTCTCTTTGAGCTGAGATTAATGAAAAGCAAATAGCCGTCCTTTGAGATCACGATAATTAATATTTAATTCTCTCGGAACCGCCTCTCCAGTCCGTATATCCGGACGTAGATCAGATATCAGTTAAATCGCTCGGCGAATTTGCGATTCTCTGTGTCTTCCGTGTCAAATTGACCCGCAATTATACGGAGTTCTCCCCCCCTCCCCCTCATGATTTCTGTCCCTGCGTTTTCTCTCGGATTATCCGAGACGTCGAATCCGAATATTAATGCGGAAAAGTCGGCGCTCGAGATCCTCCTTACGTTCGACCGCACATATTCGATACGTCGTCATATCGCTTTCTTCCGCCACTGTAAATCTTGCCAGAGAGTGAGATTTATTCAACTATGCCCCGTAGATCGAGCATTAATGAATTTTCCGATATTTTACGATGCCGCGGGGGTTGCGATCGCTGAAAGCCAACTCCTTCTCCCTTTCTACCTCGTACTTTTCGCCTTTATCCCGTCTCGCGTCTCTTCCCTCCATGTACGCACATATCCACGGGCGATGGGATCACGGAGCAAAGGGGATGTGCTTGTACTACAAACCAACCATATTCTGTGCACAACAATCATCTAATTATAGAAAACAATCGCGGTGAGTAACCAAAGTTTACGCGACTTAATTCAGTCCCGATTAACTCATCGCAGAGAAATTTATTATCTATTATAATTCGGTGACACAGTTTCACGAGTTAACGAATTAAAGTAGACGATAATTTCACATAACCGGACTAAATGGAATAATTTATCGTCGAGTTGGAGAAAAGGAAAGACTTCTTGACCAGGTATTTTGTCAACGTATTGTCCTCCCACGAAAAGCTACTATTCGCGGCTCTCATTGGCGAAGGATTATTTCTCAGTGATTGATTGAATATCTTAACGCTCCTTAATGGGGAAATTATTTCTCAGTGATTAAATATCTGACGGCCAAACATATTTATCGTAATCCGTTTGCCATTTTTCCCTGTCAATCAAACAACAGCACATCAAGAGTTATTTGCTATGCCGATCGTTGAAATGCGATTCTCCGCGATTCTCCCAGTGGATGTTTCCTTCGTTCCGGAGGAAACGTACCTTCACGTGCACACATCTCCGCACAGTTTCGATATTCAAACGCGCGAACGTATTTTACGCGGAGCAACCCCTTTAAGCTCGCGACCAGACCAGTTTCGATTTATTCGCAGCAACGGCGCATCTTTCATCGCTCGGCCGCGGCTTTTCGCGTGCTCGCTGACCGAAACGCGTCGGAATAAGTTTTGTTTACCAGCCGCGCCGCGAGCGGTCTCAAATTAAAACGTCGGTGCGATTTTTCCGCCTCTCACGGTGAAGGAACCATAAATCCCGGGTAATGGCTGGGCGAGCGCGCGCGAGCAAGCGAGTCGCTCGATGGCTTCCTTCGGCGTTTATGAAGACCGAACGGGAGGGGAAATAAATGAGGGATAATTAGCAGCGTCGTATCTGTCACAATATCGAGCGAGCCGCGAAGTGACAAAGGCGTGTCGCCGTGGGCGAAGATACGGGGCGGCGTGAAGGC